AGTCTACATCCCTAGCTTCTCATGACTGCTGGCACCCACTCCCACCTAACACACACACACACACACACACACACACACACACACAAATAACAGTAACTGCTATGGTGTCATTTATGACTTTCTATTCACTTTCTCCATGGAGATCATGTTTTATCAACTCATCAATGCATGTAAAGGAGAGTTTTAAAAAATTGTTAATATAGAATTTCTAGGCATTTTGTCATGAGAGGATTTGCAGTTTATTTCATATAAAATATTGTCTGGAAAGGAGTCTCAGGTGGTAATAAATTAGAAAGGACTGTGAGATAATTAATCTTAAAGAAGGGGTTGAATTTGCTGAGAAAGGAAAAAGGAAATGGTAGTGGGAAAGAGGAAAAAGGTACCCTGGAGGAGAGTGGTGGTCACAAAGAAGCACAACAGAAAAGGGTAAAGCAATTGGCTTTCATGACTGAAGACAAAAATCTTTGACCCCACCAGGGAGGACTATTAGATGAAGGTGCACAGAAGTCGGAGAATGTGCTGGGTCATGTGCATTCTGGGAGGTGATGGGAATTTTATATTAAAGATCTGAACCAGGTCATTGTTAAAAGAAAGAAACAGTATATACAGCTTTAAGATCCAGCCCAAATTCCCAGTTCCATCGGGAAAAGGATGCATGAAAAAAGCCTGACAGCTTTAAAATGAAACTCATTTAACCAAAGGAGATATAATAGAGCTGAGAGATGACTACTGAAGTCCAAAAGGAGACTGAACCCTCTGATACAATTTGACATTGAACAAGTGTTGACGGATTAGCATCCACAAGCACTTCTGACAAGACATAGTGCCCTCAGGCCGTGGACAAACGTGGAAGTGGGCAACTGACAGCCTGCAATACACATACCACTTTATTCCTCCTTGCTGCATTTTATGATTACGAATCAGTTTTCTTTGACGTGCCCCATTTTTCACTGCAGCATCTTCGTCTCAGTGCCTTTATCAGTTATAACTTATCAGAGCATTTGAGTGTACCATTTACAAAATTGCTTTTTGCTAAAAGTTAGAGAGTACAAAACAGTGCAATTCTATAGAACAAAAGAGAAGAAAGAAGCACTACCTGGAGACTCCAGCACAGATGGCCTTCATTTTTCTAACATAACACCCTTGTGAGGTGTTTTCGCAATAAATTTCTTTACATGTTACAGTAAGATGAAATAACCATTGAGTTGATAATGCATGTAGGTTTTCTCTATAGGTGGATAAGAGAAGAAAGTAGAGGCCTTTGATGTAATGTAAAGGATTCAATGTAATATTTAAATGCTTGGTGAAGCATTTGATGAATATGCAGAATATCCACATGCAAACTTCTCTTGCGAATCCTCTAGCTCATAATACAGTCAGTTATTCCTGTTCCAAAGGAGAACTCAGTTCTCTCTGTAGGCAGCTCTACTTTATGCCCCTTGCTATCTGTGTTCTCAGGCTTGTCTAATATACTTGAAGGACTACAGCAGAGGACTGGCAAATCCTGTAATTGTTAGAAGCTGTTCGCATTATCAGTTCAGCTTGGGCATCTTCTTCTGTGGACAAAATTGCTTGCATTTATTCTATCATCCCACATGTTAATGTAATGCTAATCGGCATGGCATGATCAGCTACAATGGCTTTATTCACAATTACAGTCTGTAAATAATCTATAACCCATAAATAAATAATCTGGTAAATATTATTCATGAAAGCAACATCATGTCTTTAAAGTCACAGATTTCTCCAGGTGTCAATTTCAGGAAACAGGAGTTGGCAGTTGCAACATAGCTTCTGCTGTGCCTCAAATGTCAGATCGCTGCAACCAGATATGTGTCTCTGTTTTCCTATCCTAACTGTGCCACAAAGCCACTAGTCCAGAGGAGGTAATTTATCCTCTTTCTGCCTCCCTTTTCAATCACCAAGGTGAGAGCAGGCTACTATTTGTAAATGAGCTAACAGAGTTCAATAAATGTCAATGAATAAATTGACATTAATATAAGTTTAGATTCATAGAACGTAAATTTTCTAGAAACACGCCTGCAAAAGTACCCGGTGTCATTCTCCTACTAGTTACTTCAAACTACTAACTACTAGTTACTTCAAATTGTAAATGTTTGGCTTAAAAGTTAAATCAAGGCCATTTTTTATTAAAGTTTAGTGCCTCTTTGTATAACACATTATTTTAGTTTAACACAAAATAAATATATGCTGTGCTTGGGTATCTACCAAATCCCATCCCTCTTAGAAATATGGTCCACATAATCTATTTAGTAAAAAAGCAAATAAAACCAAACTCCAGCTGCCCTTATGGAAAGTTACTGTCTGGATGAGCTGAGTGTTCCCCTCCAAGTCTTAGATTGGGTGGGCAGCTAATCCTTTCCTGAATCTGTTTTGTATCCAGTACAGTGGACAGGAAATAGCTGATAACTGTTCAATTCCAACAGCCCTGCAGTGACCAGAAGCAGCAAGGTGCCCATCTCTGCCCAGGGCGTCAAGTAATTCACAGAGTCAGTGGCTCCTGTTGTGCTTTTTCTTCTTTTCTTTCCTTTTTTTTTTGGCAGTTCTAGCAGATGGATTAATAAAAGCCCCAAAGCTCTTGTGCCCTTCAAAAAAGAACCCTGAGAGACCCCATATATGAATACATTTCCTCTCCTTCACTGATGCTCATTTTTCTTCTCATTAGCAGATAAAACTGAACTGGGCAGGATGGTTATTAAGTCAACCCTTCTCTTGCTTTCACCACGAAGATGTCTGCATAAGCGCTGGCTTATTCAATCTTCACATTGCTCTCCCCTTTTCTTCTTCCTCCTCTCTCTTCACCTTCAGATTTGATGTATACATGTTTTTCAGAAAAATTCCCAGCAAATGTTCCCTGAGTGGCCTTGCTTAGTGGATCTCGCCCATCACTTACATTTTCCCCCAGCAATGTTCTCACCATGGCAAAGCTGCTCTACAGTGCTGGTGGAATGAGGTGGGATGGGGTTTGGGTCCATGGTTCTCAAACACCTGTATGCTTAAGTGATGCCATGTCACATCTTTGCCTGGTTATTAAGAGACAAATATATTAATATGTCTTGCTTTAAATAGTCAATGCCTTTTCTTGATCTGCATGTTATAGATAAGCTGTGTGGTTCCCTCTTATCACGTACTCTGGAATTAACTTTTTTTTCTGCTACACTGCCTGGATCTGACCTATCATGCACTCTGTATTTTCACGTATTTTATAACTGAAGCACAATTCCTGTATAATATGGTTTGGCTCTGTGTTCCCACCCAAATCTCATGTTGAATTGTGATCCCAAGTATCAGAGGTGGGGCCTGGGGGAAGGTGAGTGGATCATTGGGGTGATTTCTTATGGTTTGGCACCATCACCCTAGTGCTGTCTTGTGATTGTGTTCTCATAAGACCTGATTGTTTGAAAGCGTGTAGCACTTCCCCCTTCACACTCTTGCTCTCTCTCTTTCTCGCTCTGTCTTGCTCACTCTCTCTTTCTCCCCCTGCTCTCTCTCCTGTCACCATATGAAGGCGTGCTTGCTTCTCCTTCACCCTTCTGCCATGATTGTAAGTTTCCGGAGGCCTTCCCAGCCATGTCTCCTGTACAGCTTGTGGAACTGTGAGTCAATTAAACCTCTTTTCTATATAAACAACACAGTCTCAGGTAGTTCTTTATAGCAATGTGATATTGGACCAAATACACTGTAAAAATCTGGAAAATTGATCTTATTAAAACCAGTACCCATCAGTTAATTTCACCTCTAGTCTTTAAAAAATATATTATTACAAAGAATTTTGCTCCAGTGCCTTGGCCATTCTTCTTGGCCACCATTCCTTTTCATGTCACTCAGAAAGCGGCCTAAGGTTGGGCAACCATCCTCACTTGTTTTGTGGCTGTGAAGGGGTCTGGTACACTTCCCAGCTGTTGTCTCTCAACCTGTCAGGCTAGGGCCCAGGTGCTGAGACAGCTCCACCCTGGCTCCTGTCAGTCTGCAGAACCTCAGAGGTCTGTTAATATTGGCCATTCAGTTCCTGGTCCAGACTGTCCCCCTCTGCCTTTGGCCACAAGGTCAGTTCTGCCCACACCAGTGATACAACCTGGCCATATCCCTTGTATCCCTCCTCAGGAGCAGGTAGAAACTTCTCTGTCCCATCTGGTCACACAGGTACCTAGGATTTCTTATAGGAGCTCAACTCAGATCCTTCTTCCTCCATTCTGGAACTTCAATCAAATGTACCTTGATGGTCAAGGTCCATTAGGCCTTGACACATTGAGTGATAAATATAAGAATCAGAGAATTTCTTTGCCTTAAAAAAAAGGTATGGCTTTTAAGAGCTGTGTCTTTTTGCAAAATCCTATTTTGGATTTTAAGAGCTAATTTAAAACTTCTTTTTTTTTTTTTTTTTGCAGAGACAAGTAAACATTTATTTTTGTACCTTTCCTCCTATGTGTATTTCAAGTCTTTCTCACAAGGCCCCAGGAATCACCAGATTCAATTATGTCCCTGGGCTTGTCCACTGCTGCAGGAGTCTTAGGGAGCCTTGTACAAATGCTAGAGTTACTCAATTACCAACATTAAACCCTAGAATAAGAGATGCAGCAAAGCAGAACTCCTTCCTCCATGGAATGTGCTGATTTCAGACGAGGCAGCAGCCAATGCAGAAAACGCTGGAATTTTTCCTTGGAACTGGATTGTGATGAGAGGTGCTTGCAATGTACATAAGCTACTGTTTTTTTCTTTTTTTTCTTTTGAAACAGTTTCGCTTGTTGCCTAGGCTAGAGTGCAATGGTGTGATCTTGGCTCACGGCAACCTCTGCCTCCTGGGTTCAAGCAATTCTCCTGCCCCAGCCTCCCGAGTAGCTGGGATTACAGGCATGCGCCACCATGCCCGCTAATTTTTGTATTTTCAGTAGGGGCAGGGTTTCGCCATGTTGGTCAGGCTGATCTCGAACTCCCGAACTTAGGTGATCCACCCTCCTTAGCCTCCCCAAGTACTGGGATTACAGGCATGAGCCACCACGCCTGGCCAGCTACTGTCTTTTCTTTGACCGTTCCTTTCCAGTTTTTAAAGATAAAGCAGGAAATAATCTTCTCTGAAGATACTTGATACAAATTCTCCAAACCCAAAAGCACATGCTTCCACTTCATTGATAAAAATTTATTGCAGTTTGGCAGCTGGTTCTAGTTCAGCTGGCGGATAAGCTGATTGATGCGTTCACCCCGATAGCCACGTGTGCCCATCTCCTTGAGGAAGCCCACTCTATTTTTGGTAGCATGATGGGCCACTGAGAGGTGGAAAGGGCTCAAGAACCATGAGATCTCCTGGAAATGCTTCCCCGGGAAGGCAATTTCATGAATGAGGTCTTCCAAGCAAATGACACCAAACTTCCCCAGGTGCTCCTCAATCACAGTGTTGTCTGTCAGAGGGATGGTCTTATTCTTGACCCTGGCTTGTCCACATTTCAAAATGAGTTCCTGGACAGACTTCAGATTTGGAAATCCCCAGGTCACATAAGATTCCACTATACGCAGCATTTTTAGGTTCTGGGGAGTGACTTTTACAAAGACACCACTAAAAATTTTCTCTAGGCGAAGTCTTGCAATCGTTCTCTGCACCAGTAAACTCACACCATCAATCCTTTCAATGCGTACGACAAAGGCCAAAGAATGTTTATCTGGCAATTCCAAGGCGTGAGGCTTCACTTCCAGTCGTCTGACACGCACCTTGTCACGTGTCTGCCGCCAGGAATCATGTAGGAATGATTCCAATCGCTTAAACCTGGGCGCTTTTCCTTTCCTCTGCTCCTTCTTTGCCAAAAGTGCCTGCTTTGCCTGAGTGGCTTTGAGGGCTTGATAAGCCTTCCTCTTTTTCAGGAGATTTTCTGGAACCAAAGGGATTTTTCTTTGCTCTTGCTCCGCCATCTTTCCGGTGTAGCAGCTACTCTAATTTAAAACTTCTTGCTTTTCTTTTTATCTTGTTCTCCCCCACCCTTGCCTCAACACATACCCCGTCCCACTTTGTATTTCTGTTATAACAATCTTCAGCCTCCCCAAGGCAAAGCATGCTCTCCAGAACAGTGGGAGGAACTGCCAAAGAGAAAGTATATACGTAGTTTTTAAAAACTGTCCCCTCACAAGGACAAGGAGCCACATTCTGTCTGTAACTCAATCAAAGTGCCTGACATCTACAGCTAATTCCTTTGTTTCCTTCAGCCCCCCAAATCTGTATTTCTTTCTTTTGAAACCATTCCTGATACCATCTTCGTTTTATCTTTTTCTCTCTTTAAATCACTGCCCACTTTTCTCTGTCCCTTGTACACTCTGGAAATGAGCCCTTTATTGTTGCCTGAACTTCTGTCTTCTCATCTTCATGACATTATCTAAACTTTTCACTTCCATTTTAATTTTTATTACCTTGACTTAAATTTCTTTGCCTCCATCCACCCCAAGCCTCATCTCCATTAAATACTTCTGCAACTAGGAATATATATTTTAAGCCTTTGGATTCATTTCTTCCCCCTAGTGCTTCCAGAACACAGAGAGGATATTTAATGTGGTTATTCAGGCAGTGTTAGAACCTATATACTGGGATGGGTATCCATTTTTAAATTTTTTGTTGAAGAGAGGTCTCAGTATAGCCCAGGCTGGTCTCAAACTCCTGGCTCAAGCAATCCTTCCACCTCAGTCTCCCAAAGTGCTAGGATTACAGGCATGAATCACTGTGCCCAGAGGATATCCATTATTATCTAAGGCCCGAAGAAAGAAACATCTCTTAGCAAGAAAAAACTGCTACCATCTAAATGGAGAATCCAGGACAGGCCGTAGTACCCAGCCAGAGAAGAATACTCAGGTTAGAGAGAGAGCTACAAAATAGTCTAACAATAGTAAGAGACAAATTTTCAAGTTACAGTTTTCCAAAAAGGCAAGCAGCCAGCGTTTTGCATAGCATGGTGAAGGACCTCAATAAACACTATGCTTACAATGAACAGTTCTCATTTGCATTTTTATTGACTGAAAACTTGTAACCAGCAGTAAGAACCCTGAAAGGAAAGAGAAAACAAACCCCACCACTATTTAATGAGTGTTTACCATGTGTCGGGCAGAATGCAAACTATTTCACATGTGTTGTCTTAATTTTCACAACCAACCCTACAAAATCAAACTAATTTTAGCCATCACACAGAAGATGAAATTGAGGTTCAAATAAGTAAGTTGCCCAAAATCACATAGCATATACGTGATAAGATCTAGGTGGTTTTAACACAAGCCTACACTCTTCAGCCAGAATCAAGAGAGACAAGAAGTGATCACAGGACGTAAATGGGAAATAAGGTGAATTTGGACAACATGGACAGAGGAGGAATCCAAAACAGAAACCCTTCCCTTGGATATCTGTAGAAGAATGATTGTCCAGTGTTTAACGAGAAAGAACATGATATTGACATCAGAACCCCATTCAACAGTATATATAGGTATTATATATATTTACATTTTTAAAATTGTATAGCAATATATATATTATTCTCTATACAGAGAGTAGGTTGATTCTGAATGAATTATTTTTATATCTTTATAAAAGTATAAGTTAAAAATCCTCTTTATTGTCAACTCTAGATACATAAAAAATTTCAGTAAATGTTTTGTTAGGAATCATGAAAAAACAAACGAATAGTCTCCTTCTATAGAATTATATTTCAAATAGTGTTTTAATTGTGTATGCCAATTAATATTCTTCATTTCATACTGTGTTATGTCACACTATTCTATATTGTCCTGAAAAGATACAAAACGTTCTTGCTTGTAATCATTTTAAATCATATGTTAACATTTTCTCTTATTCAAACAAGATTTTTAAATCCTCTGTGTATTCTTTGCAAAGTATTCTAGTGCCTGAGAAATTTTTTCAGTTATCGCTAAGGCATGATCAGAAAGAGCAATTGTTTCACATTATATTTCATAGCCTCTGTTCCTTTTAGTTTATAATCCTATTAATTCTTTTGGGTCTATTTCCTTTTCTGTCAATATTTACACTTCAAAGTGTTAGCAGACATGCCTAAATAAATACATTGAAATTCTCTTTTTTTGCAGGTTGATAGAAAATGTGATGGCACCATTACTTTGTAAACTCCTAGACTGTAGTAACCACAACTTATTAATGGTGTCTACAGAGTATTGGGTGCATAAAAGGTGCTGAGTAAATATTTGTTGATGGAATGTTGGCAACCTTTATACTGAATTTTTAAAAATAGTAATAATAATTAACATTTTCTGAATGGAGGTAACAGGTGTGTTTGGCATCATGCTAGATTTAAAATTACTTCTGTTACTTAAGCCTCAAAAAGCACATTATTTCTATTTTACAAATGAGGAAATTAAAATCAAGAGAGGTCAGATGCCCTACTCAAGGTCACATACAATAAGTGACAGTAAGTGATGGTGTCAGACTCCATCCCAGGTGTATCTGACTCCTGGGAGTCACTTAAAGAGCCTATCACTTAAAGAGTACACTTTTCTGGCCTCTGAACTTTCCCTAAGAAATTGCTGAAAACATTTTTGACCTCATCATTCCCTTTCACATTTTCTTGGAAAACATATACATTTACAAATTTCATTTCCCAACCCTTGTCCAATTCACATCTATACTCCTGCAAGGAAATTTCAGTCTTATCCTGTGTGCTCATTATTTATAGTTCTTCCCAGCTGTGTGCTGGTAATTGTTAAACAAACAATTTGGGAGAGTGGGAGATAAGCCCTGATCTATAATGCTTGTATGATTTCCATGATGTAGATACTGCTGCCATGAATGATTTCAAGCTACCAACATGATGTCACCGAACAGAATTGGAAAGAGATATTCAATCTCTCAGGTACAGCTTTCTGTACCTGATGCCGGTGAATTCTAGCATGCCATCAGCTCCTTCCCATATTGGCTTGCATGAAGGTGAAAAAAAGCATTAAAAAATTAAAATCCTCTCTGTTAGGATTTGTTTTGGACAAGTACCTAGTGATATAGTTTGGCCCTGTCCCCACCCTAATCTTGAACTCTAGTTCTCATAATCCCTATTTGTCATGAAAGGGACTCAGTAGGGGGTGATTGAATCATGGGGGCAGTTAATTCCATGCTGTTCTCATGATAGTGAGTTCTCATGAGATCTGATGGTTTTATAAGGCGCTTCCCCCCTCTTCACTCAGCATTTCTCCTTGCTGCCACCATGTGAAGAAGGGCATGTTTGCTTCCCTTTCTGCCATGATTGTTGTTTCCTGAGGCCGCCCCAACCATGTAGAGCTGTGAGTCAATTAAGCCTCTCTACTTTAGAAATTACCCAGTCTTTGGTATGTCCTTATTAGTGGCATGGGAACTGACTAATATACCTAGTTAACACACATCTGTTTTAAACACTTTGAGTACTGTTTGATAAATTAAATGATTTTTTGCTCTTCCAGAACAGTGGTTCTCAAACTGTGGTCCCCAGATCAGCATCATCAGCACCACCCGGGAATTTACACAAATGCAGATCTTCGAACCCACTTCAGGCCTACTGAATCAAAAAACTTGGTGGTGATCAAGGAAGGTCAGCAATTGTTTTAACAGGCATCCAGTGATTTTGCATGCTAAAGTTTGTGAATGACTATTCAAATGTAAAAATGTTTTCCATTTCAGCCCACAAGGTAGAGCAAGTCTAACAAGGGAGAGTCCAGGATCAATTTTAATTTTTAAAAAAGTGGGGAAAGTCCAAGTTCTGGCCAGTAAGTGTGTAATGTAGACTGCAGAGAAAAAAGGTCCTGGCCCAATTACTAACATCTGAGTCAGGAGAAGTGTGTGTAAAACCCACCTGAGGAAAAGCCCTCCAAACCAGAGAAGAAATTTGCTGACTTTTGGAGACTCATTCCAGAAACAATGCCTTAGTAGGCATCAGAAGATAATGGACCCAGTTGGAAAGCTTCACTCCTTAGCCTGCATAGCTAGGGGACCTCTGTGCTTTACATAAGTGAGTTAAAACACAGATTTCCTACTTAAACACCACCTGGGATAAATTTTTTCTGCCTATTTCAGTAGTTTACCTGTATTAGATTCTTCTGGTAGGCTTGTTAAAACAACACAGCTCACTGAATTCCTCTCTCCCTGCCTCTCCACCACCTGACAAAGATTCTCTGCTTCACCAAACTCCAGTCAGCCTCCTCTGAACTCTCTTCTCAATGAGGCCCCGGCTTGTAGGCTTCTGTGTTTGTCTCTGCATTGTCCATGTTAGCAAGAATCCTACTAAATCAGTTTAACCAGAACTCTCCACCCTCCAGGTCTGATTACCCTGAATATCTGATTGTCCACCATCCCCTAGGTGATGTCTGATCACCGTGGCCTGCCTTCTGCAAGAATCCTCTTAGGTTCCTTTAGCCAGAATTTCCCCTTATTCCTGATGTTTCTTCAAGTAAGTTTTCATCTTCTGATACCCTCCTGCTCCTTAGCTATTGTGATAGTTAATATTGAGTGTCAAATTGATTGGATTGAAGGATGCAAAGTATTATTCCTGAGTGTGTCCGTGAGTGTGTTGCCAAAAGAGATAAACATTTGGGTCAGTGAACTGGGAGATGCAAACACACCCTCAATCTGGGTGGGAACCATCTAATCAGCTGCCAGCATGGCTAAGAGAAAAGCAGGCAGAGGAATATGGAAGCACTAGGTGGGCTAAGTCTCCCGGCCTCCATCTTTCTCCCATGCTGGATGCCTCCTGCCCTCGAACATCGGACTCCAAGTTCTTCAGCTTTTGGACTCTTGGACCTACACCAGTGGTTTGCCAGGGGCTCTCGGGCCTTCAGCCACAGACTGAATGCTGCAGTGTTGGCTTCCCTACTTAGGGGTTTTGGGACTTCCTTGCTCCTTAGCTTGCAGATGGCTCATTGCAGGACTTCACCTTGTGACTGTGTGAGTCAATACTCCTTAATAATCTCCATATACATC